TGACAGTTCAATATTCTTCTCTCTTGTCATAGCTTGAAGTTTCTAATAATGATCATAGCAAGACATTGGCAATGTGTCGATTCTTTTGGCATATCGTTTCGAGCAGACAATCTATTGAGATATTCTCTGAACTGAGCCAACAGAGATACCAATTAATAGCTGAATCTGGACTCCGGGACCTACAACTTGAGCTCGTTGTGATATTGATACCTCTTCGTCAGAGTTGGTAAGAAGAGCTTATTAGGAGAAGCAGTTGACTACTCTCATAGAGCATTTGCGCTGGACTTTACGTGTTGTACAAGATTTGGAACAGTTTTGTATGTGGTCGGTGCTCATTACGTTTCAGAAGCTCTAGCTTAAACCTCGGAGGCAGTATGGACTCCAGACTTAACCTACAAACATTCAGTGTCCCCAGAGGATCGTGATATACGAGCCCCCCACGTGACCTGTTCCAAAACCGACCAAAAGAACAATATAATTGTTAACAGGTCCAATTATTACAAGGGAGCAACATGCATTTATTTCATATGCCAAGGAAAGCGACGTTATAGCCTCTGAAAGCGCGGTCTTGTTTCATGTATCGGCCTACGTACCAGCCACATCATTACGTCACAGCACCCTTGAAGTCGCATCCCCTGTAAGTTCTGGGGTCAAGAACTTGATTCTAGCGGTAAATCATGGCAGCGTCGCTATTATGACGATTTGCACGTCAGCCTCTTTCCAATCTCGATGATGGATCCTGTTTGCAATTTTGCGGAGAAAGGAGAAATCAGGAAATTTTCTTTGATTCTAGATACTTATTTAAAAATATTATATCTTCTGGTGGAGTTTTTCTGTATCCTTCTCTCTACATCTTCATTCCAACAATTTCTTCCCTCCTCCCATTTACACTTTGATCTTATTCCCGGGCCGCAATATGTCGTCATCATCCGTATGTACCCCAAGTATTCTTACTGGTAGCTCAATCACTCACAGTGTTCCCACCAGGCTGAGCAGAGAAGCGATCTCGAGGAGGAGCAGCTCGAGCAGGAGAAGCCCGTGCGAAAGACAAAGACCAAGAAGCCAAAGTCCGAGCGACGCAAGCGACGCGCCCGATTCGAAGACTACGATGACGAGCAGGACAACAGCCAGATGGCCCCGAACAACTACAACGCTCAGCAGCAGCAGTTGCAGCAACAACAAATGCAGCAGCAACAACAGCAACAGATGCAGCAGCAGCAGCAACAACAGGGCGGTGGTGGAAAGAGTGATGCCCTCTCTCTGCATCTTGAATTGAACCTTGAGATCGAGATTCAGCTCAAGGCGAGAATCCACGGTGATCTTACTCTTTGCTTACTGTAAGTTGAACAACAATTATCGCCATGATCATTGCTAACATTCCCAGGAACTAAATAACAACTATGACCTCTGAGTTATAGTTCATATCGGAAAACAATGAACGACATATGACTTGGTTTGGCGGCGTTGGGGCTCCTTTTGCATTTCCTTGGATATCTACACATATATGTTCAACAGTATTCTTCGACATGTCTAAGACATTGTCTGTCTATTTTATATACTTATTACCATATTGATCATACTTCTCCCCAGAAGCTAGTGACCGTTGAACGCCCGGACGTTGACTAGCCTTGAGATAGCCTCAGATTTGCGATGTTAGCTCTGAAACCATGTAAGGATCGGCTAGTGCTGCTAATCAAGGTCTGATCTTCAGGCCCATCGAAGTTCTAGCCAGACTGTACATAGCCGCACAGCCACGTAAGCCTCCGTCATCTTGCACGCGACAACCCCACACTCGCGTCACCATGGTGTTTTACAGCAGTGGAGGTGCATCGCCATCAATGATCATCATCATTGATGCTGATAAGGATGAAGGTGAACAAGCAGGAAATATTTATATGCCTAGTTATAATGATTTCATTACTACATGTTTTTAAGAGTGCAATTCAGGTTTAGAATTAACGCTTACTACCTTATCACCGTCAATTTAGCTGCTCTATGTTATTATTGTAGCCCTTGTCTCTATCGAAAACATTTGACATACCCTGCATCACAAGCTCTGGAGCCATTGCCGAATCAATAGTGCTGGATGACTGTTTTATTTCATTGATTAGTCACGATCGTTTCAGTAGTCGGAAATCATTCTAGAGCAATGACAGGTTGCCTCGCGATGACCAATTTCAACAAGCCTCGTCCAGGCGATGATTGACAGTCCATTGGCCGTTGAAGCTTATGGTATCTCAGTGAGATATCTCGTGTCAAAAACTCATTCTCAGCCCATGACCATCTTATTCGATCCTCTTCTGATCATGGAGAATCTATGGAACGGGCCAGACTCCTAAATGATTTCTTCTATCCGTAATTTCATTTCTTGTGAGGAATCTTAGTGACGACACAGCTGCCTCATTCATATCGAGCCATCCAAGGTTGCGATTCATAAACTTGAGTGATATCAGGCACTCTTGGATCTTTATAGACTCTTGAACATAAGACTCATCTAGTACGTTCATGTTTAAGCCAAATGTTTGCCTTTTCCATTTTCGGGCTTATCTTGAATACGCAACACCTCAGTTGTCGCTTCGTAAGCTCACAATGAAAGTATACCATGAACTATTCCCAGTTATGACTTCAGATGATATATGCTTAGAGCATATGTCGCTTTTATCCAACTCTGCTTACACAACTTCAACTTCAGGTCTGCAGGTCATCCTGATTTCATCTTCCATGGCTTAACTATAAGCCAGAGGTGCACCCTGAGCCGAGACTCGTAGCCGAAAGTCTAATCTTGACCCCTTCGTCATATACTCAATAACAGCTGCATTTGAAAGCGTATGCTATATGTTCTCGCATATTTTAAGTGCTTTTACATGTCTGTATCGATGAGCCTTAGTACGACATGGGAGATATTCTCAATCTGTTCATGAGACCCAACTTCTTATCAACGTCTCAACGTCTCAACGTCTCAATCATACCCGAACCCGTCTCTTATGTTTGTGCTAGCCGTATCATTCTAGTTATTAGAGCCTCTTGCCTCGAAAGGATGTTTCAACGCATGACGCGTTGGTGATGGTGTTCATAGTAATTTGAACGACGTATGCAAAATTCATGGATAATGACTTGTAGTCACACAAGTGAGGAGCTAGCGCTTCTTAGAGAGGCATTAGCGTCATGAAAGGTTTCGAGTCACGGCGCATATATCCAATCCTCAAAGTGTCAGTAGTTGGGCGTTTAGACCTGTGACAGCCAAAGATGAATGGCGCACCAATAACCGAGGTAGAATTCCTAGTGGGCATTAATAAAAGAGGTTGGTATTGATACAATATGCAGACAGGGTTGGCATGTGGAGTTTAATGCCAACGAAGTGTGGATCAGATATACATGCCGAAGCTGAATACGAAATGCTACTTCATGTTTGCTTTTGTTGATTTCGGCGAACCAACCCTTGAACCAGTATCACGTTCTAAGTATCTAGCAGCTGAATATCGAAACAATAAGGACTCATGATGGCCATTGATGCAGAAAGCACGCATCTACTCCATGTATTTTCCAATGACGGGCTGGCAAGTGGAGGGAGAAGGGGGGAGATTGCCCATGTCTTGGACAAACGCCCAGCTCATCTCCGCTGCTGCATGTCAAAAGGACCTGTCTCCGGCTCCGAGGCGGGATATTAATATGCATGTCAGAGCGGCTCTGCGGGTGCGGGATGAGATGGGCGACATCTGATCGAGTGCAAGTTGACAAATCGAGGCGGGTAAGAGATACACGCCGACAAGGTTCAGCTGGGGCTGAGAGAGTGGATGAAGCTGTAACTTCAAATAGATCACGAGCAAGACTGTATCCACCCGTAGGCAGGAAAACACCGCCTTTCTTTTCTTTTTGATGTTGAGCGCTGAGATATCAGTCAGGCCCATCCTCTTGAAATCCACTCTCGTGGCGGAATATATCGGGTTCGAGGACAAATGTCTCACTTTCAGATGTCACGCATAACCGCCCGTCCGAGATTCATTCTGGAATCAAACCTGCCAGCGCAAACACGCACCGGATATGCGCGCAGCAGCACATCATTTCCAAATCCATTCCGATAGATCTCTTCAGATCCTAGTCCCTGCACTTGCTTCACCCCTGCTTCACCGTCTGGGGAAGAAATCTCAACATCCAATGGCGACACCTTGCTCGAGAAGTTGGAGGGTTACATGATCTACCCTTCGTTGTCAGATTTCAAAGTCGTAGCGGGATTCTAAGGGGTCGTGGAAGAAACACTTCGTTACCGATCTGCGAGACATGTTTTGTCGCGTGAGGTTTAGTCTGAAACATAGTCACAGAAAATCGAAAGATTCTAGTATATCATCATATGTTTTCCCAATTTCTAAACAATGGAAGAAATCCCGATGTTTTCAAATCCTCATCAAATCCTTCGGCTCGGTAAAGCATTTCCAAACCTCTCCGTGATACACATGATCTGACAGAGAGTGAGGCTTGCGAAACTGATGCTGCAACTCCTCCTGCAGCATGCATGCGCCCCCGGACTTTTTCTCAATGGCGCATGGCAACGAATACCTGTCCTTGCAGAATTATGCATTAAATCTGGTCCTTGTTCCCGGGGCGGTTGTGGCGGTTCTGGGGGGGACCGGATAGAAACCGGATGCATGGTCCTTATGCTAGACACCTCATCGGTGACGTTTTGTGGTAGGTATTGTGATCAATTAGCTTTTGAAGGGTATCAATTAGGTTATGAGATGAATTGAGAGTAAGTTTCACGGTTGGGGGCGTCACTTGATGGTTGATTAGACACTCGAAACATGGAGAAGGTTATCGGATAACTCAAATCAATTTAACACTATCATTACAGTACATGCCCTAATATTGGCCATAAGAGTAACCGAAAGTCCTCGACTAGATCCAGTGTACATGATAGTTCCTTTCCCCGTAATATCATTGATCCTAAACGCCAATGACCAAACGAATGTGAAAGCAACAAGGTAAACCCTACCGAACCAAATATTCTATGACGTAGCATCTTCAACAGTAGGCTTCCTATACGATCCCGCCTCACTCGTAGAATCGTTTTTCTTGTGGTTCTTGTCCTTCTCTTTCTCTGGCTCCCAAACTGAACTAGCCACTGTACCACCCTCGTCCCCAGTCAACTTCTTGGCCATTGAGAAGATTGAGAAGTCCTGGCTCAGGCTCGTCAAGATACTTCCATCTGACCCTCCTTCACTCTTGGTGGGGCTATCAATATTCAGGCGGCTCAGGGCATCGGCGATACGCTGGCGCTTAGCTTCCTTGGAGTCTGGGTCCAAGAGCCCGTTCTTCTTCTGGTCAGGCTTATAAGCTGGGGAAGGTGGCTCAGCGCCTGGATGACGGCCAGTTGCGACAAAGGCAGCACGTTCGGCTTCGTCTTTGGCGGTTTGCTCTTTGTGCTGCTTCATCTTCTCATCCATGGTCATGGGCTGTTCAGGATCTCCTACAGGCTTGGGCTCCTTCTTCTCTCGCCTGGTGAGCTCTACTTCTAGTACGCGAGTGCCCATGGCGACCTTTGACTTGAGGCCATCATCGTCGCGGTCATAGTACAGTGCCCAGATGCCGGGGAGTTCTTCGACAGCGCAGAAGCCCTCCCAGCCCTCACAAGTCATGCGACGGTCTTGCTTGGTGCAGTCAAATGGACCAGTGATGTGACCCTCTGTATCGGCACGAACACCGTACTTGACTTCATATGTCTTCTTGTCAATGTAGATCCAGTTCAAGAACGGAGGGTCATCACTAATGGTAGTGACGAGACCCTCGTACTCTGTGTCTGGGAAGGGGAGGAAGTATCCTGAAAAGGCGTAGCCTTTGCTGACATTGTTTTTAGGATCATGGTTGTATAGTGGGTGCTCATTGGCGATATAAAGCTGCTCTGATGTTAACTATCATACTGTATGGCTTTAAAAGCACAAGGACTGACCTTTGAATCTTTCAAGACAACAAGTTTGTTGTTGATATCTCGAGATCTGATACTCGGCTTGACACAAGAGACAACTAAGTTGCAGCGTCGGCCACGGTGTTCTTCACGCTTCGTCTTTGCCTGAGACTGTCTGATAGCTTCTTGCGTACCCAGCATAGCTGGGCAGACAGTCAGAGCTAGAAGCATGGGTAAAGACATGATGACTTTCTGCGGGTCGTCTTTCTGAACAGCTTCCTTGAGCTTATCAACCTCTTCTAAGAGCTTCTGCTTGCACAAGCCGCCGAAGAGTTGCTGGAGTGTGCTTTGGGTCGAGTCTTGTTGGGATTGTGAGGAGGAATCAACGTTGGGAGATGAGGATGCAGAGTCAACGTCTGGGGACGGGGACGACATTGAACGTCGTCGGACAAGTGGCGATATTCACGGCGGCAAAAAATAATAGTAAACAAAACAGGGAATATTCTGAAAAGTTATTGGGATGGGTTGAATGCGAGACACGCACAGAAGAAGGGGTGTGTTACTCCAGGGTGTTCACAGTAATCTCTGAGCGAGATTATACAAAGTGGCAAGCTATATATCAGGTATTATCACATTGTACCTTAGCTGATTGTTGTAATCAGCTGAAGAGACACCCCCAGCCAAGAAATTTCAAAAACGCACAGCGGTTGTATAAACCAGGATGATGCGTGTTGGACATGTCGGACTGCCGGTGTTTCCCGACAGAATCATGCCATCCTTCGATCCGAGTGCTACAGTGTTGAAAAAACAAAGTTAATCGAAGGGGACCTGATCCCTGTATGTATGATCGAGATTGGACAGAGGGGCATGATGCGAAACATAACTCAAGCACGGATATCCCTGACTTCCCGTAAGCCACCCCCGTTTTAAACCCCGTTCTTAGAGGCTTAAATGCTTAGCTGGAGGGTTGCTGAAGGACCCTTGTTGATGGGCTAGAGACTCTGCCACCCTTTTGAAGAAACGTTGTGTTTCAACGAATTGAGGTTATTTGACGTTAATTCAACGTATTTTCTTGATAAAACAGTCAATCCAGTATACTCTACGATTGCTGGAGTGAATACGTTGTCTTGACAGAATCAATTGGCCCAATGGCCATCTGTATCTTCGCCATCTCAGTACAGTCTGCCCACAATCAAGAACTCCCGTTCTCCTTGTTTCCCCAGGACAACATCTGTAACTAGCGCCGCCAGAGCACCTACCAACATCGGACGATATCGCGGGATACGATACGTGTCACTCCATAGCCCCTCTCTCGTTTCTACAGCACAAAAGTAACCCCGGTCTGTAACCGTGACACTTCCATCTCAGCCCATTCTCCATACCGGATCTCAATACCCGTAACAGCTGCAAAGGCCCCTAGAAACCCAGACGTTCTCGAATCTGAAGATCTGCGGCTGAAAGCTTCCCCCCGGGACCACCTTGTATGCGTCGTGGGGCACGACACCCCCAGAAAATGTCAATATCCACCGCAACGCAGATATACTCGTCAACCTAGAACCTAGGTAGGCAGCTATAGCGTGCATCAGTGTGAGACAGCATGTACGGGATGACAGCTCATCAGCAAGCCCATTTGAGTTGCCAGGATCTGCTTGCCAGGCCCGGTCGACCTTCTCGTCGTTCGTCGGGATGTTTCGCGTGTGAGGTACCCTGTGACAGACAAGACACAGCTATCACGACTTGCACATTGAAGAATGTCACCCTTGGCTTAGGCCAAATCGTGTATATAAGATGGCCTCTCCGTCGCCTTCAACTCAACTTTTCACATCAGCACTCACCATCCAAACCATTCAACAATCATCTACTTGAGCCCCCAGCTCCGATCACCACTCCAAACACTCAACAACTTTTGACAAGTTTGTCCAACACAATCCAGCACAATGTCTGCCCCTACTTCGTAAGCATTCCCTTTTGCTTCATATCATCTTCACTCCCCTCAATGGCTCAATCTCAACACCAATGGAGTCCTCACACTGACTAACTTAGCACCACTTCTCCCCCTCCCACTTCTGAGCTTCCCTTTGCCAACCTTCCCTCTTCTCCTGCTCCTGTTCGCAACTCTACCGCGTAAGCAACTCATCAATCAGTTCTCAAGTAATAGCTAACATTTCTTGCCATTAATAGTCTTTCCAAGCCCGCCTACGCCTCCGACTCTGACTCCGATGGTCAGGCTCGAGGTGGTCGCCGCAGCCAGAAGCAGCAATTCGTTGTTCCTCTGCCCACCTCCACTGGTCTCTCCCAGCCCGCTGGTATGGAACTTGCTCACCTGCCTTCATTTTCCCCTGCTCACACAGCCTTAGGTCAACTCCTCAAGGGTGCCACAGACGAGAACGGTGCTCAGAAGTCCGCTGCCCTCCTCGTGGGTATCAAGCTCGACCTTGAGGCCGAGGTTCACCTGACTGCCCGCGTCAAGGGTGACATCGTTGTCGGCCTTTACTAGACAATGACGGATTCCAACACTGAGACTGTACTTGGTGGTTGGTCGCAGGATACGGCTGGTGGCCATGTGATGATATAACGAGAATGGTGAACGCCCGAGCAATGCCCAACAATTGACGGGCTGTCAAAAACGGATGGGATTTCCTTTTTTCTGGACTAGCATATAAAACTTGTGTAGCTTGGATAATGAAAACTCTTTGCTGCTGCAATTCTCTCTATCGTGTTCACTAACAGTGGTGACCCAAACTTGGCCCCAACTTCGCATTGTATATCTCCAAGGGTACTAAGGCGATTCAGAACATTTAGTTAGTGGCATTGATTGGACTGGCTTAACAGAAATAAGTAAAAACTGCTGGTGCCCATCAACAGCATGCCCATGCAAGGCCAAGTCTCTGTCTGCCCATAATGGTTCGTGTGCCTGACACTTTTCCAGGGTCAGTATAGCGGGCCACCGGAAAAGGGTTGCATCGGGCCCTCCCGTCTAATTCTCCCAACGTTGATTGAGTGGGAATCAGGACTGCAGTGAATAATTCTCCGTGAAAGTCGGATCTATCATGGGATGTTCACTGGCTGTGCCACGTCCCTACTTTTTCCCGTAATTAAATTCGAGATAACTGCGGTCTGGGTTACAATTGGGTTGTTTGCTGTCTGGGTTCCAATTGCTGTAGGTATAGATCCCAACACGTACAATAACTGTTTATTTATAATGAATAGGTGGGCTCTCAATAAGTTGAAAATATCAGATGAAAACCGCAAACAATGGCACTTGTTTTCTATCTCACCGAGGCTGCGAGGATCTGTATTGTGTTGTGCAATCATGATTGACTCAATGAGTTGGAATGGTCTCAGCTGCAAGGCAGTGACGTAAGGGTGTCTGTCACGTTAGTCGCCCGCGTACCTCGAAATCTTTTCCTATGACTTGTCATGCACATCACAATAGAACAATACAATTCAAAAAAGCCAATGAATAAATCAACTCGGAAGAAGCCTTGTTCCGATTTTATATCGGTTGCATTGTTCATTACATGGATATTTCCATCTGCTTCTATTTAGAGTTTACATCCCGGGTTATCCGATTGACCCGCACCATCTCCAAGAAGCAATTAATTCTGTGACGCGAGATTATATACAAGGCGAGGGAAACGAAATCGTGAGGGGCAGCGTTTCACTTCTAAAAACTCATCATCATAAGGAAAAGAGCCTCTCTTGCTTCTTTCGCTTCTCATCGTATCACAAATCTTGCATCGTCAAAATGCCAGGAAGGCCTGCCAAACGCGCGCACGACCTCATCGACCTTACGGGTGACGATGAGTCTGAGACGCGTCAGAAACGGCCCGCCCCTAGCGGTCACCACAATCAACAGCAACATTCCCCAGGACAAGGTGGAACAAGTGTATATGGGAGTTCTTCATCGCAAGCTGCGCCCTCATCTACCGCTGAACCAGATTACCTTGACTTGACACAAGATGATGATGGCCCCCCTCTTGAGCTTTACGGAACCTTGGGTACGACACTTTCATCCCACTTCATCCATCTCACTAACATGAACAGATGGGAAGGTTGTTGGTGTGAGGTACTACAGAGGATATGCTTCAGCGGGTGGTACGTTTTCGTGCTTCAGGTTACGCGACAAAGGCTCACAAGTTTATAGAAAACGTTCTTTGCAGGCGAGAACCCGACAACCAGGTTCGTGCTATTCCAAGTGGTCTCATTCTTTGTCTCTCCTGCGACATGGCCTGGAACTGACGTCTGACATCTCAGTACGACTCCAACGCCATTCGCGTTGACAACGTCGTCGGTGATCAAATCGGCCATCTTCCTCGAAAGGTTGTTGAGAAGATCGCCCCATATGTGGTAAGATGAAACGTTGCGCCGTTCATCATTGCCATGTCTGACGCGAAACCAGGATCGTGGCGATGTGGTCCTCGAAGCCCAGCTCACAGGTGAGAAAGGCTTCTATGACTGTCCAGTTAAGATCTTCTTCTATGGACCTAGCGACCCGGAGGAGCGCTCCAGAATCGAAGATTCGCTCAAGAAGGACAGGCTTGTCAAGGCTACGGAGCTCAAGAACACTAGAAAGGAAGCTGAACCCCGTAGAAAGTCAGCAATGGGTCTTGTGAATGGCAGCTCGACTCATGGTCTTGGCCAAGACCTTGCTGTTCCACAGAAGCCTGAGATCACAATGGACAACGTTCTGCAGAAGAGTGAGGCGGTTGAGATGCGCAAAGGCGGAGACGCAATCAAGTCGCTTGCTATTGGCGAGGATGAGCTTGCGAAAATGCCAATGGCCGAGCAGCCCGAACAGCTCAAGGCACAGCTTCTGCCATACCAATTACAGGTTTGTCCCTTTCTCAGCGGGAAGCGCATTTTACTGACCGGCTTATCCAGGGCCTTGCGTGGATGGCCTCCAAAGAAAACCCTCAACTCCCTTCCAAAGGCTCCAAAGAGCCAGTGCAGCTCTGGCTTCATGAATCCAATAACCGTTTCCACAACATCGCATCTGGCTTTGTCACAGGCACGGCTCCAAAACTCCTTTCCGGCGGTATTCTTGCAGATGATATGGGCCTCGGAAAGACCCTTCAGATCATCAGCTTAATCCTCACTGGCGGCAAGGGTCCAACCCTCATCGTTGCGCCCGTCAGTGTCATGAGCAATTGGAGTCAGCAGATCAGGCGCCATGTCAAAGGAGACCAGCAACCTAGCATCTTCGTCTACCACGGCGGTGATAAATTACACCCATTGCAACT